TCCCACCCCCCTCCCACCCCCCTCCCATCCCCCTCCCACCTCCCTCCCACCTCCCTCCCCCCACTCGACTATCAGCTGGAGCTGCATCTGGGCATTGGAGGCACCTCATACGCCGACTTCATCCTGACCTCTCTTCTCCCCACACCCCTCCCCACTCCCCACTCCCCACTCTCCCGTCCTCTCTCCCGTTTCTCTCCCTACTGTCAGCTCGAGCTGCATCTGGGCATTGGAGGCACCTCGTATGCTGACTTCATCCGCAGTATCCACCTGCCGGCCCAGCTCAGGTCAGCTGCTCCTCCCTCGCTCCTCCCTCGCTCCTCCCTCGCTCCTCCCTCGCTCCTCCCTCGCTCCTCCCTCGCTCCTCCCTCGCTCCTCCCTCGCTCCTCCCTCGCTCTACCCATGTTGCTGCTGTTGGTGGAAGTGAATAGAGCAACCGCTGAACCTTTCCTTCGCTCTTTCTCAACACTCCTCTCTGTTGGCCTACATAGATTAGTTAGTCTTGAGGGTTGGGTTTCCAATTTTAAGTTCCCAATTTGGTTGGGTTCCCAATTGGGACCCCCAATAATCCCAACCCAGATTATTGAAACCCCCAGTTATCTTAGTTAAGACGACTGGACCCCCAATATGTTGGCGAACCCAACTTATTTGGGAGGCCAATAATCTTTGCCAAACTCCCAACCAAGCTCCCCTCCTCCTCCTCAACTATGTAAGCTCCCCATTTCCTAATCCAGTCCAATGCTTGAGTTCCTGACACTCTCCTCTCCTCTCCTCTCCTCTCCTCTCCTCTCCTCTCCTCTCCTCTCCTCTCCTCCCCTCCCCTCTCCTCTCCTCTCCTCTCCTCTCCTCCCCTCTCCTCCCCTCTCCTCTCCTCTCCTCTCCTCCTCTCTCCTCGTCTCTACTCTCCACTGCAGCCAAGTTGACCACCCCATAGTGGCGTCCTTCACAGGGGGCGGAGTGGGGGTGCTGTCAGCACTGCTGGTGGTGGAAGTGAATGACTCCCTCCTCCCCTATCCGCCTTCTCTCAACACTCCCCTTACTCCCCCCCCTGTTCCTCAGCCAAGTGGACCCCATAATGGCTGCCCTTCACAGGGGGCGGAGTGGGCGTGCTGTCAGTGCTGGTGATGGTGAGAGTCAACAGTTCGTGGGCGTCACCATCCATCCATTCCGCACCCGTCACTGCCCTCAACACTCCCCACCCCACCCCTCTCAGCCAAGTGGACCCCATACTGGCGTCCCCTCCTACCCAACAGTCAAGTGGATCCCATAGTAGCCTCGTTAACAGGGGGCGGAGTGGGCGGGCTTTTGGCGCTGCTGGTGGTGGAAGTGAATAACGTTTCTGCCCTCCTTATTCCCCCTCCCCCCCCACTCAACACCCCACCCCACCCGAACCCTATCCCCTGTGCAGTCAAGTCGACCCTATTGTGGCGTCCTTCACAGGGGCGGAGTGGGCGTGCTGTCAGCGCTGCTGGTGGTGGAAGTGAATAACGTGAAGCAGCAGGAGCACAAGCGATGCATGTACTGCCACGGGTCGGGTATGTATGCATGCATGTACTGCCATGGGTCAAGTGTGTATGTGTACCTGTTAGTTTTTGCAAGCATGGTTGTTGTAGGTAGGCACATGTGAAGCAGCAGGAGCACAAGCGGAGTATGTATGGTTGTACTGCCACGGGTATTTGTGTTCACCCCTTAGCTTTTGCATGCATGGTTTTAGGCATGGTTGTAAGCATGGTTGCATTGCAAGCACATGTGAAGCAGCAGGAGCACCACAAGCGGTGCATGTACTGCCACGGGCTGGGGGCGTGTGCATGCATGTACTGCCAGGGACCGGAGGCGCATGCTTGCAGACATACTTGGCGCTCAACCATCTCGTCTCATGCCCTCACTTCACTTGACGGTCCCCGACTGCTGGTGCTCCTGTCCCCCCTTCCAGGCGACTTTTGAGTCGACTCAAAAGTCACCCTGTCCCCCCTTCCAGGCTTCCAGGCTCGCTGCTCTGCCACGGGCTCTCTCATCGACGTGCAGCTGGAGGGGGAAGAGGGCATGTGTTCTCTTTGACTCTGTTGACTTATGTTGACTGCTTCCCCCCCCCCCCGCCCCCTCCTTCTCCCCCCATTCCCCAGGCTACCTGGCGTGTGCGCGCTGCTCTGCCACGGGCTCTCTCATCGACATGCAGCTGGAGGGAGGAAGGCGTGTGCTTCCTTCTGACTGCTTTCGCCGACTTCATTCAAACACCCCCCCCCCCCCCCTCCTCCTCCCCAGGCTACCTGGCGTGTGCCTGCTGCTCTGTCACAGGCTCTCTCATCGATGTGCAGCAGGAGGGGGAGAGGCATGTGCTTCCTTTAACTCTGACCACTTTTGTTGACTTCTTTCACAATCCCCCCACCCCAAACCCCCCCCCCCTCCCCTCTCCCCCCATTCCCCAGGCTACCTGGCGTGTGCGCGCTGCTCTGCCACGGGCGCTCTCATCGAGATGCAGCTGGAGGGGGAGGGGCAGCAAGGAGGGGGGTGGTACTTCCGTCGCCTCCGTTGACTGTCCTGCCTGCTCCTGTTCTCCCCCATGTCCCCCCCCTCTCCCCTCCCCCTTCCAGGCTACCTGGCGTGTGCGCGCTGCTCTGCCACGGGCTCTCTCATTGACGTGCAGCTGGAGGGGGAAGAGGGCCCGGTGCAAGGCGGGGCAACAGCAGCAGGAGAGGGTGCCGCTGCTAACGGTGCGGTGGCAGCAGGAGCAGCAGCGGAGAGGGCAGTTGGTGGAAGACGAGGCATGGCGGTGGCCAAGAGGTGTCCCAACTGCGCTGGCCTGCGCAAGGTGAGAGGGAGGCATGGTGGATTTGTGTTACGGTTGAGGAGGGAGAGGAGGCATGGTGAGAGGGAGGCATGGTGGATTTGTGTTACGGTTGAGGAGGGAGAGGAGGCATGGTGAGAGGGAGGCATGGTGGATTTGTGTTACGGTTGAGGAGGGAGAGGAGGCATGGTGAGAGGGAGGCATGGTGGATTTGTGTTACGGTTGAGGAGGGAGAGGAGGCATGGTGAGAGGGAGGCATGGTGGATTTGTGTTACGGTTGAGGAGGGAGAGGAGGCATGGTGAGAGGGAGGCATGGTGGATTTGTGTAACGGTTGAGGAGGGAGAGGTGGCATGGTGAGAGGGAGGCATGGTGGATTGGTGTTACGGTTGAGGAGGGAGAGGAGGCATGGTGAGAGGGTGGCATGGTGGATTTGTGTTACGGTTGAGGAGGGAGAGGAGGCATGGTGAGAGGGAGGCATGGTGGATTTGTGTTACGGTTGAGGAGGGAGAGGAGGCATGGTGAGAGGGAGGCATGGTGGATTTGTGTTACGGTTGAGGAGGGAGAGGAGGCATGGTGAGAGGGAGGCATGGTGGATTTGTGTTACGGTTGAGGGGTACCCACTCACACGTCATGGGAGGGAGAGGAACAAAGGAGGTGGCTGGTGGGAGGGAGACGAGGAATGATGGTGGCCAAGAGGTGTCCCAACTGCGCTGGCCTGCGCAAGGTGAGAGGGGAGTGGGGGGCCTTGGGGTTTATGGTTGAAGGGGCAGCGGCTCACACCTTGTGGGACGGAGAGGAGCGGAGGGGGCAGTTGGTGGAGGGAGACGAGGTACGACGGTGGCCAAGAGGTGTCCCAACTGCGCTGGCCTGCGCAAGGTGAGACGAGACTGGGGGGTTTAGGGTTGAGGGGCAACAGCAAGAACCTCATAGGGCATGGATAGGGGTCTGTGGGGGACAAGGCATGGGAGGGTGGTCTAGGGGTTTTTGAATTGAAAGCTATGCCCTGAAGCCTCTCCATGAGTATGCTCACTGCGCCTGAGGTCCATTCCTACCACACATTTTTCGTTTCTGCCTTGTGGTTCATTTCACCCCCCCCCCCCCTATCTGCCCTCTCCTCTGGTTTGTCAGGTCATGTGCCCTACTTGCTTGTGCACGGGTATGGCACTTGCCACAGAGCATGACCCGCGTATCAACCCATTCGAATGATTGAAGTTCATTCGTGCTTCTTTGCATGCACAACACGGTTTATCAATTGTAGGAATAACTGAAATCCATAAGATGAAAAATTGAAGTGTCTATGTATGGCTACTAATAAATCTGCGTGTGTTCGTAAATGAAATTTCCTTCTGGCTCATGAGTCTGCTTGTTTCGAGGATTTCGATGTCTGGTTTGTCTGGACTGGACTGTCCTTGGGGTTTTGGCGACCGCCCCGGATCCAGCGGATACGAAAGTGGTGGTCGATGTGAGAAAGGTGATGCCAGCGCGACGATAGCTTTTCAAGACCCATTGGCCCTGCGGAACGCAGCACGTGAAAATCCTCGACACTAGGCTGATGGAATCCAATCGCAGATCTTCATTGCTACAGTAATGGCGGTGAGAGTGTCCCCTGCTTTTCATATCACTCCAGTTCATACAGTACAGTATTTTGGAGTTTGCACGGGTGAGGGACAGTTCTTTCTCCTGGCAGAAGCGCCAACGGACTGGTTGCAGTGCAGTGCAGTGTGACCAATGCAACCGGAACGGATCAGATTGGAATTCGGAAATGAAACCATGCGCCATGTGCGTTGCTTTGGCAGGGGATCAAATTTCCCCGCACGTCAGGTCTGATTCCCCTGTCGTTCCGGGCAAAAATCACTTCCCACACTTGCATAAACCAGTCCGGCTTGCACTGTACCTTTTCAAAACGAACTGGAGTTTACGTTTCGCGCCGAGAATTACCACAACCCGTGTCCACGATTCGCTACGCGCCTCCATCCCGACCTGGGAAACGCGATTCGCAATCCCAATCTCCTCCAAAATCCCAATCTCCACCCCCATCTCACATGCAAATTTTGTGCATCAGCAATTTCCATCTGCTCAAAGATCCATTTCTGTTTCTCCTCCATATCCATTGATCTTGCTCCACGCAAGTCGCCCGTTCCAGCGATAGAGGGTCACCGCCATTTCGCCAAAAACTTGCAAGCCAACTCAGGAAAGAGTCTCGCTGGACCTTGATGCAACCAAGAGACGCATCAGCGGCAGTAAGTGCAGTACGTGGGTATGATTCCGTGTGGCCGCGGCACATGGGACCAATAGGAGTGGGGGTGACACTCGCCGCCCGTCGTCCCCACAAGTGCAAGTCATGGGCGACCTGCCGTCGTCATTTCCGGGCGGCTCTCATGGCAAGGCTTGTCCTTCTCGCAAGGCTTCCCGTCCCCCAAAATCTCCCTTGCTCTCGGCTCATCAGACCATCCGAAGGCATGGCAGCTGCGATAGGACGAGTAGACAACCCTCCCATTCCATGGTGCAGCAGCGACGATCCCGGATCGAGCGGAGCGAGTCATCTCAGTGACGTTCTTCCCATGGACGAGCTCTTTTTGGTTGCAGCGACCTCCCATCCCGTGGCGCAGCAGCGACTGCGTCGTCGTTCATAACCACCGCGTCCAGCGCAACTGTCAGTTTTGCTTCGAGCTCCTCAACCACCGCCTTACTCGCGTCTCACTCGCGTCTCACCCGCGTTTTCTTCGACTCCAAGGGTTGAATAAGTTACTCGGTCGTTTCTCCGACTCCCAAGTCCGCGTCAGGACGAAGCAGTCACTACTACTTGAACGACCATTCTATTCGTGTCACATGCCTCACACAAGTCCTCGCTCCGCTCAGTATCCGAATCTTCAGCAGGCTCCACATGCATAGCAGAATCGCCGCAGGTGATGTCACTTACCCTGACACCAACGTTGGAGTTACGCTCGTAGTCCGACCCTTTCCGCAAGTCTAGTACTACTACATTAGCGTCCCGATTCGGGATCTCCAGGCGAGCACTGCGCCAGCTTCAGTCACCGGTCTCAATCTCCGACCCTGTTCCCGAGCAGAGCCTTCGACGACTAGGAGTCCGACTACTAGGAGTCCGACTACTAGGAGTCCGACTACTAGGAGTCCGACTACTAGGAGTCCGACTACTAGGAGTCCGACTACTAGGAGTCCGACTAGGAGTCCGACTAGGAGTCCGGGGAGTCGTCCGTAGAATGACAGCCATCTCGACAGCTACTGCAGTAGCAGCCGCTGCGGCAGCCGCGCGAGGCGGCCCCGAAAACTCCCTCTTCCGCTACCGCGGCGTGCGCCAGCGCACGTGGGGGAAGTGGGTCGCGGAGATCCGCGAGCCCCGGCGCAAGGTGCGCCTGTGGCTCGGCTCCTTCGCCTCCGCGGAGCAAGCCGCGCGCGCGTACGACCGCGCGGCTAGGAAGCTGCACGGCGCGGATGCGGTGCTCAACTTCCCCCCTCCCCCCGCCTCCCCTTCGAGCGCGACTCCCGCCGTCAACACGTCGCGTCAGCCCCGAGCCGCAGTCGTGAAGAGCACCATCGATACAAGCACATTGTGGAACTGTCACCTCCGCAACAAACTCAACGGCAGCTCCCCTGCATTCGCGGCGGAACTTTCGCGAGAGAGCGCGGCCGCGGCGTTTTCTAGCGTGGGGACGCCGTTCGCCGTCCCCTTGGGGACCCAAGCGGCGGGTCAAATCGCGGTCAACGCGGTCGACGCGGTCAGCGCCTCCGGGTCGGCGACACGTGGCAGTGGTAACTCCGCCGGCGCGAGCGGTCCGCCGAGCAGCCCGTCGCCGTGGCTCGCGCGCTTCATGCTCGAGATTGCGGAAATGCGAAAATCCGCCGCCGGATGTCGCCAAGTGCACGACTCAGGCTCAGGCTCTGGTGGAATCGGCGCGCAACAGACTGTCAGCGCGACTGCACCGCGCCTCCAGGCCCGCAATCCGATGGGTTCGATGGATTTGATGGGTTCATCGCTCCACGGATTTCCCTTGGCGAGTTTGGATGGTACCGACGGGGCTGCTTGTGAGAAGACCGCCCTTTCCGCCTTCCAGGAGCACGTGCTGTTCCCCTTCTACCTACGCCAGCAGCAGCAGCAGCAGCAGCAGCAGTATCAGCTGCAGCGAGCGCAAGGAGCAGACCAGTGGTGGCGCGGCGAGCAGCAACATCACTCGTTGAAGCAGCAGCAGCAGCAGCAGCAGCGCCTGGCACCTGAGCTGTCACTCTCAGGACAAGCGACTCGGATTGCAACGGGACTGTCAGCGCCCCCGCACTCCCCACTTCCCGTCGGCCTGCTTCCCGCTCTCCAAGCGCCTTTGGCGAAGCTCCCTGGGACGGCTCCCATGGCTGCTGCTGCTGCTGCAGCTGCGTCAACCCAGAAGACGCGGGTGACAGCATTGCTGGAAACGATGCAGGCGCTGCCGCCATTCAGCCTGCCTCCAGCTGCTGCATTGAGCAACGGCTGTCAGCTGCCCCCGTGTCCAACATTCGCGCACCCACCACCAGCAACACTCCCATCCACCTCGTTCCCATCGCCTGTGCACCCACCGGCCTCGCTTACACCGGCGAGCTCGCCCCCAGCGCTTAGCGAGACCCAGCAGATCCTCCTGGAGCAATACATGAGGCTGTCGAGACTCTGCATGACAGCGCAGGGTCGTTGCGATGCTGCGTCCGCCCCTGCCACAATGCGCTCAGTACCCGTGAAAAGCAAAGGGTCGATCGCTCCACTGGCACCTGTGAGCGGGTCCCTGGCTGTCCCGGTGGCTCAAGGAGCGAGTGAGCAGGTTGGATTGATCCAAGGGAAAAGGGTGCGCTGCGAGGAGGTGTGTGGCGGAGGCTACTTGGCCTTCTGTGGTGATGCTGATAGCAACCCCGCCACGAAGCGCGTGTGCGTGTGGGGAGGTGAGGCAGAAAAGAATCAGCTTTCACATGGGCTGGGCAGCCGCAGCAAGGTTGCTGGAGAGGGCAGGACTGCTGGAGACGTGAGTCCAGAGAGCAATACCTCATCTGGGCAGAGTGGGGCTCAGCTTGTCTCGTTGGATTCTGACATAGTTGGTTTTCAGCTGGAGGACGAAGAGGTCTGGGGGTTGGGGCTGGAGCACTTGGAAATGTTGCTTCCAGGGCTGAATAGTGAGCCGGAGCTCGCTATAGGTAGTGAGGCATGGAATATGTTGTAAACTATTTCTTTAGAATGGATTCCTTTTAGTTCGTTGTAAATATCCTTACAATATTTTTTTGTTGGCCAAAATGCTCAGCACGAATAGAAGGACCCTTCTGGACCAACCTTCGGCCCCTTTTCTACAAGATTCATCCAGTCCGCGCTAAGAGCATGCTTGGGGCCATCCTCATGCTTCTTGGGATCATCCACTCCGCTCTTCTCCTCTGCTTCGTCTATCCGCTCTCCGTGACAGGCATCGCCGCGCGAAAGATCGAAGGCGGGCAGGCAGAGGCGTAGTCCCCGTGCATCCCTTCGCCTCGCGCTTCTACGTCATCCCATTTCAGAAGCGATTTGCTGTCGAGGCAGCGGCACTCGTGGTCGTGGCAGTGCCACGTCTTGCAGATTTTCCGCAACCAGCCGGGGGAAACCATAGCTTGTTTTGAGACGTCTTACAACGAATCCTGCGCAACCAGCCGGGGAACACACCTGGAATCGCATCAGCTAAAGGACACGTGAGATTCTGTTCAGCTAGGGGACAGCTGTGTTTGGTTCATCTAGGGAACAGCCAGGATCTAACCAGCCGGGATCTGACCAGCCAGGGGACACCTGGGATTGAATCAGCTAGGGGCAACGAATCGCGTGCGTCGATGGGGTTAGACGGGCTGAGGGATCGGGATGAGTCAGACCACCGGCCAGCGCGAGTGCCGGGGGAGCGGGGAGCAGTCGCAGGGGAGGAGGAAGAGGACGCGACGGACGGGGGAGAGACGGGGGGGGAAGAGGACGTTGACGGAGAGGAGGTAGACGTTGACGGAGCGGAGGCAGACGTTGACGGAGAGGAGGTAGACGTTGACGGACGAGAAGACGGTGAGGAGGAGGAGGAAATAGGCGAGCCACAGACGATGCGGCTCTACGTGGAAGATCTGGTAACCAGCACGACGGATTCCGCTAGGACCGGGCTCGTTGCTGACGTGGCAGGCCGCGTGGACAGCGACGACGATGACGAGGACGAGGATGACGAGGATTCGTTAGAAGACGGCTACGCTAGGGTTTGCTGGCTGGGGTCGGAGGAACCCACGGAGGAGAAAATAGAGGATCTTAGAATCATAGACCGTTGTTTCTTACACGGAGATATCGTGGCGCGTGCAGACGATCCGCTAGGGCAGACCGGAACCGTGACAGCTGTCGATCTCCTATTGGACGTCGAGCTCGCGTCGGGGAGATCGTGAGAGATGTGGATTCCCGGCGGTTGGTTCCGATCCGATCCGTGAAACCCGGAGGATTTGTCGTTTACCGCGACTGGGTGGGGAGGGTTGACGACATTCTCGATAACCTCGTTCTCGTTTTCGACGACGGGGCGAAATGTCGGGTTACCAAAGTCAGCCCCGACGATTTGTTCCCGGTCAGACCGTCCGCGACGGACGACGAGGAGAGCATTCTTTTCTGGCCCGGGCAGCGCGTGCGCGCAACTTTTCCGGGCATCTTCCGCCGCGCCCAATGGCTGAAGGGCACGTGGAAGCAGTCGCGCGCGGAGGCCACTGTAGCAGTCGTGGAGCCCGGAACGGCGCTCGTGCAATGGGTCATGGGGAGACAGCTCAGCAGCGGCGGAAGCGGCGGCGCTGGCGGCGGCGGCGGCGGCGGCGGCGGTGGTGGTGGGGATGGGGATGGGGATGGGGGCGCAGTTGACGGGGAAGAGAGTGGCGCGGATGTTGACGGGGGGAGCAGCAACACCGGCAGCGGCGGAAGGAGGAAAGGCGCGAGGAAAGGGGAGAAGGGCGCGGGGAAGGGGGCTAAGGGGCCTCCGCCGGACGAGGTAAGCGCGGCGGCGGTGCGCCCGCTGGTGCACTTTAACTACGCCAACTGGCAGGTGGGGGACCACTGCTTGCGGCTCATAGAGGGGAAGGAGGCGGAGGGGATAGGGGAGGGGTGGGAGCAAGGGAGGAGGGGGGACAGGAGAGGGGGAAGCGAGGGAAGAGGGTGGGGGGAGGGAGGGGAAGGGGGAGAGGAGGCGGAGGCAGGTGAAGCGGAAGAGACGGACCCGCTTATTGGTTCTGGCAGTAATACTAGCTCTGTCACAACCAGCAGCACTGTCGCCACTAGCGCCACCACCAGCAACGCCACTGGCAGCAACACTGCAAGTACCGCCGCCGCTGTTACTAGCAGCAGCAGGAGCAGCGGTCATTTCTTTTGGCGTCGAGGCGGCAGGGGCAAAAAAACGCATTCAAAGAAGAAAAACCCGCCTAAAACCCCCAAGGGCGTGGAGCGGTCCCCTATGGTGGTGCGGACGGCGACCCACGTGGGCGTGACGTGGCAGGACGGGAGGGAGGAGCGGGGTATAGATGCGTGCGAGTTAATACCCGTGGAAAATCTGGGTGAACACGACTTTTGGCCGGAGGATTATGTGGTTGAGAAACATGGGGAGGACGAGTTGGGAATGGGGGTGGGGATGGGGGTGGGGATGGGGGTGGGGATGGGAGTGGAGTGGGAGGGGGAGCAGGAGGGGAAGGAGGGTTGGGGGTTGGGGATGGGAGAGGGAGGGGAGGTGGGGAGAAGGGAATGGCTGGTGCTGCAGCGGATCTGGTCACTCTCTTGACTTCCGCTGCTGACGCTGCTGCTGACGCTGCTGCTGACGTTGCCGCCACTGCTGCTGACGCTGCCGCCACGTCTGTGGTTGCTGGTACAGATGCTGCCGATGCGGAAGGGAGAGGGAGGGGAGGTGGTGGGGAGAAGGGAATGGCTGGTGCTGCAGCGGATCTGGTTGCTCTCTTGACGTCTGCTGCTGACGCCGTTTCGCCTGTCGCTGTCAGTAGATCTGCAAATGCGGCTGCAGATGTGCCGGCCATTACAGGTGCAGACGCTGGTGCTGCTGGCACAGCAGCAGCAGCAGCAGCCGTAGCAGCAGAAGAACTATCAGCAGCAGCTGGCGAATCAGCAGTCGCCGAATCAGCAGCTGTTGAATCAGCAGAATTAGCAGCAGCCGGATCAGTCGAATCAGGCGAATCAGCAGAAGTGGCGAGGTTCGGCCCAGCTGGGGATTTGAGTGAACATGGGAAACCTTTTGAGTCGACTCAAAACGAGGTGACTCTTGAGTCGACTCAAAACGACGTGACTCTTGAGTCGACTCAAAAGAAACCGGCAGCACATGCAGAAGCAGGGGGAGGGAAGGGGGTCGAATCGGGGGAAAGCAGCTCTGTTACTGCAGTAGCAGCAGCAGATGCCGTCCCTGCGTCTGCCGTCCCAGTGGCTCCCGCCCCTCTCTCCGTTCTGATGGGAGGGCCGTGGGGGCGAGTGGGGTACGTGAAAACGGTAGACCACAAGCAGCGGACGGCCATAGTCGCATGGGCTAGGGGTGTTGAGAAGCGAGGGAAGGAAGGCGTGGCGGGAAGGGCAGGGGAGTTGGAGGGGTTTGGGGGGGCAGAGAAAAGAAGGGAAGGAGGGATGGAGAGGGAGGGGGAGGAGAAAGACGAGGGGGCGCAAGCGGGAGGAGGAGGAGGTGGAGTGAAAAGGGAGGGAGGAGGTGTGGGGGGTGGGAGGGGGTGGTGGAGTTTTGTGAGGAGTTGGCTGCGGTGTACGAGCTGGCAGAGCACCCCGACTGGAACTTCAGGCTGGGGGACGTGGTTATTCGGTTGGAATCAGGGGAGGGGGCTGAGGGAGCAGGAGGGGGAAAGGTGGATGAGAGGGGAGAGGATAAGAGGGAGGAAGGCAGGGAGGATGGTGGGAAGGAGAAGGGCAAAGGGGGGGAGGGTGGTGCAGGGGAAGGGGAGGAGGGAGGAGGGGAGGAGGATGAAGTGGAGGATGATGAGAAAGCGGAGGAGAAAGAGGAGAAAGCGGAGGAGAACGAGAAGGAGGAGGAAGAAGTCGACGGGGAAGAAGAGGAGGAGGGAGAGGAGGGAGAGGAGGAGGGAGAGGAGGAGAGTGATGCGGATGGGTGTGGAGAGAGAGTGGATGCGTCATGGGTGGGTGAGGTTATCGCCATGCGCCGTGGTCTCCTCACTGTCGCATGGGCTGATGGCTCTGTTTCCGAGGTGCGTGCCTGGCAGTGTGTGTGTGACTCTGCTGCTGTGATGCTGGGGAAGGGCAGTGTGTGTGCGTCATGGGGGGGGGAGGTTATCGGGGTGACAGCTGCTGGTTGCTGGAGGGCACGCACCTGCTCATGGCGACTGCTCATGGCGCACGCCCATGGCACGCACCATCGTGGGCGGGGGAGGTTGCTGCCATGCGCTGCCAGCGCATGGGGGGGGGAGGTTGCTGCCATGCGCTGTCGCCTGCCTGCTCACTGTTGCATGGGTCGTTATGCTTTTTAGAATTCTCAAAAACACCCTGCTGCATCTCCCAGGTGCGCGTTTTGAGTCGACTCAAAACTCATCATATCCCCTCTTGAGTCAACTCAAAACTCATCATATCCCCTCTTGAGTCGACTCAAAACTCATCATATCCCCTCTTGAGTCAACTCAAAACTCATCATATCCCCTCTTGAGTCAACTCAAAACTCATCATATCCCCTCTTGAGTCAACTCAAAACTCATCATATCCCCTCTTGAGTCAACTCAAAACTCATCATATCCCCTCTTGAGTCGACTCAAAACTCATCATATCCCCTCTTGAGTCAACTCAAAACTCATCATATCCCCTCTTGAGTCAACTCAAAACTCATCATATCCCCTCTTGAGTCGACTCAAAACTCATCATATCCCCTCTTGAGTCAACTCAAAACTCATCATATCCCCTCTTGAGTCAACTCAAAACTCATCATATCCCCTCTTGAGTCAACTCAAAACTCATCATATCCCCTCTTGAGTCGACTCAAAACTCATCATATCCCCTCTTGAGTCAACTCAAAACTCATCATATCCCCTCTTGAGTCAACTCAAAACTCATCATATCCCCTCTTGAGTCGACTCAAAACTCATCATATCCCCTCTTGAGTCAACTCAAAACTCATCATATCCCCTCTTGAGTCGACTCAAAACTCATCATATCCCCTCTTGAGTCAACTCAAAACTCATCATATCCCCTCTTGAGTCAACTCAAAACTCATCATATCCCCTCTTGAGTCGACTCAAAACTCATCATATCCCCTCTTGAGTCAACTCAAAACTCATCATATCCCTCTGATCAACTCATACTCATCATATCCCCTCTTGAGTCAACTCAAAACTCATCATATCCCCTCTTGAGTCAACTCAAAACTCATCATATCCCTCTTGATCGACTCAAAACTCATCATATCCCCTCTTGAGTCAACTCAAAACTCATCATATCCCCTCTTGAGTCAACTCAAAACTCATCATATCCCCTCTTGAGTCGACTCAAAACTCATCATATCCCCTCTTGAGTCAACTCAAAACTCATCATATCCCCTCTTGAGTCAACTCAAAACTCATCATATCCCCTCTTGAGTCGACTCAAAACTCATCATATCCCCTCTTGAGTCAACTCAAAACTCATCATATCCCCTCTTGAGTCAACTCAAAACTCATCATATCCCCTCTTGAGTCAACTCAAAACTCATCATATCCCCTCTTGAGTCAACTCAAAACTCATCATATCCCCTCTTGAGTCGACTCAAAACTCATCATATCCCCTCTTGAGTCACTCAAAACTCATCATATCCCCTCTTGAGTCAACTCAAAACTCATCATATCCCCTCTTGAGTCAACTCAAAACTCATCATATCCCCTCTTGAGTCAACTCAAAACTCATCATATCCCCTCTTGAGTCAACTCAAAACTCATCATATCCCCTCTTGAGTCGACTCAAAACTCATCATATCCCCTCTTGAGTCAACTCAAAACTCATCATATCCCCTCTTGAGTCACTCAAACTCATCATATCCCCTCTTGAGTCGACTCAAAACTCATCATATCCCCTCTTGAGTCGACTCAAAACTCATCATATCCCCTCTTGAGTCAACTCAAAACTCATCATATCCCCTCTTGAGTCAACTCAAACTCATCATATCCCCTCTATCAACTCAAAACTCATCATATCCCTCTTGAGTCAACTCAAAACTCATCATATCCCCTCTTGAGTCAACTCAAAACTCATCATATCCCCTCTTGAGTCAACTCAAAACTCATCATATCCCCTCTTGAGTCAACTCAAAACTCATCATATCCCCTCTTGAGTCAACTCAAAACTCATCATATCCCCTCTTGAGTCAACTCAAAACTCATCATATCCCCTCTTGAGTCGACTCAAAACTCATCATATCCCCTCTTGAGTCAACTCAAAACTCATCATATCCCCTCTTGAGTCGACTCAAAACTCATCATATCCCCTCTTGAGTCAACTCAAAACTCATCATATCCCCTCTTGAGTCAACTCAAAACTCATCATATCCCCTCTTGAGTCAACTCAAAACTCATCATATCCCCTCTTGAGTCGACTCAAAACTCATCATATCCCCTCTTGAGTCAACTCATAACTCATCATATCCCCTCTTGAGTCAACTCAAAACTCATCATATCCCCTCTTGAGTCGACTCAAAACTCATCATATCCCCTCTTGAGTCGACTCAAAACTCATCATATCCCCTCTTGAGTCGACTCAAAACTCATCATATCCCCTCTTGAGTCAACTCAAAACTCATCATATCCCCTCTTGAGTCAACTCAAAACTCATCATATCCCCTCTTGAGTCGACTCAAAACTCATCATATCCCCTCTTGAGTCGACTCAAAACTCATCATATCCCCTCTTGAGTCAACTCAAAACTCATCATATCCCCTCTTGAGTCAACTCAAAACTCATCATATCCCCTCTTGAGTCAACTCAAAACTCATCATATCCCCTCTTGAGTCGACTCAAAACTCATCATATCCCCTCTTGAGTCGACTCAAAACTCATCATATCCCCTCTTGAGTCAACTCAAAACTCATCATATCCCCTCTTGAGTCAACTCAAAACTCATCATATCCCCTCTTGAGTCAACTCAAAACTCATCATATCCCCTCTTGAGTCAACTCAAAACTCATCATATCCCCTCTTGAGTCAACTCAAAACTCATCATATCCCCTCTTGAGTCAACTCAAAACTCATCATATCCCCTCTTGAGTCAACTCAAAACTCATCATATCCCCTCTTGAGTCAACTCAAAACTCATCATATCCCCTCTTGAGTCGACTCAAAACTCATCATATCCCCTCTTGAGTCAACTCAAAACTCATCATATCCCCTCTTGAGTCAACTCAAAACTCATCATATCCCCTCTTGAGTCGACTCAAAACTCATCATATCCCCTCTTGAGTCGACTCAAAACTCATCATATCCCCTCTTGAGTCAACTCAAAACTCATCATATCCCCTCTTGAGTCAACTCAAAACTCATCATATCCCCTCTTGAGTCAACTCAAAACTCATCATATCCCCTCTTGAGTCGACTCAAAACTCATCATATCCCCTCTTGAGTCAACTCATAACTCATCATATCCCCTCTTGAGTCAACTCAAAACTCATCATATCCCCTCTTGAGTCAACTCAAAAGTCCCCTCCCTCTGTGACATGCTATTCGCATCATTTCCCTCTCTGACTCAAAACTCACCATATCCCCTCCCTCTTTGCTATTCGCATCCCTGCGCCAGGTTCCCCCTACAGTTGCCAATGTCTACATTTTCATTCGACTCAAATACAATCTTAATGAATCATGTCGTTCTTCTTCGCTCCAGGTTCCCCCGACAGTGGTCTGTTGTGAATCGGGACAAGGAGGAGGTCGTGTATGAGGGGCACGAGGAGTCAAAAGGTTTACTCAAACGGTGTTTTTGTGTATCCATCCCCACTCCAGGTTCCCCCTACAGTTGTATATGTGGTGAATAGGGATGATGAGGAGGATATTTATGAGGGGGACGAGGGTTCGGAAGACGAGGATGCTTATATCGAGGATGAGGACGAGGACGGGTGGGAGACAGCAGACGAGGAGGAGGAGGAGGTAGAGGGGGAGGAGGGGGCAGCTGGACTAACAGGACGAAGGGGAGCGTTTGGGGCAGCGGCAGCAGCAGCAGCAGCAGGAGGGGGTGGAGTAAGGGGGGGAGGAGCAGCAGCAGGGGCAGCAGGGGTAGGGGATGAGGTGACGGCTAGTTGGCAAGCACTGCGAAACGTACAGAGTGAACTAGATGCGTTCAGCAGGGGGAGGAATTGGTGGGGGGGAGGGCGGGGCGCAGGGGGGAGGAGGGGGGGAAGAGGTGGGGGGAGACCGGGGGAGAAGGGGAAGGGGAGAGGAAGAGGAAGAGGAAGGGGAGAGGGACGGGGAGGGAGAGGAGGGAAGTGGCAGTGGTGGGAGACGGAGAAGGGGGAGGAGGAGGAAAGCGGGGGGAGGGTTGGGGGAGGGGGAAACTGGGCAGGCGGGAGCAGGTTCTGGGGCGGGACCAGGTGTCATTCCGCGATTGGCCGCAGGGCTGACAGCAATGATGACTGTGCTGCAGAAATTCGTTCCCAAGGGGGAGGGGGGCGGGAGGGAGGGAGGAGAGGGGGAGAGGGGTGCAAGTGAGGGAGGTAGCGCGGGAGAGAGTACATTAGGGCTAGAACAGGCGCAGAAGCGAGGATTAGAGAATCCCCTGGACGAACCCTTGGGTTTGGGCGCCGGTGTGGGCCTGGGGAGGGGCGCTAGAGCGGCCTCAATCTCAAGTGCGTCAGGTGCAGGGGGGGGGGAATCGTCAAGAGCGGTCATTGGGGAAGGGTCAACATCAGCGAGTGGACAGGAGATTCACTCGGAGGGGTCTAGGGTGGAAGGGGAGTCAGGGGTGCGTGGTGATGGGAGCTCTGCGGGAATTGGGCTGGCTTTGCTGTTGGAGGGAAGAAGAGGAGGGGGAGAGGGAGAGAAAGGGGAGGCAAGGGAAGGAAGGAAGGAGGTGGGGGAGAGACCAGCGAGCGAGAGGAGGCAGGAAGGGACGGGTGAAAGGTTGGAAGAGGTGGACGACGGAGCGAGAGAGGAGGCGGCAGAAGGTGCGAGGGCAGAGGGGGAAGGTGGGGGTGAGACCAAGGAAGGGGCAAAGGGTGGGGCAGAGGGGGAGGGTGGGGGTGGAGCGGAGGATGAAACGCAGCAGATGGGAAAGAATGAGCCTGGGACCGCGGGCAGGGGAAGGGACGGGGAAGGGGAAGGGACAGGGAAAGAGATACGGGGAGAGGGCACACCAGAAGGGGCAGATGCAGGGAGAGAGACAGGGGAAGGGGAAGGGGAAGGGGAAGGGGAAAGGGAAGGAACAGCAGCAGCGGCAGGGGCAGCGGAAGGGGCAGGTGCAGGGAGCAAGGATGCGTGGCGGCAGTTTGACAGCGTGACTGATGCTTCGGACCATCACTTCGCGTCTCAGACATTCCAGGTATGTTGACACGGTGGTGTCGGGCTGCTGCTGGTGTGTTGACACGGTGGTGTCGGGCTGCGGCTGGTGTGTTGTCGTGTCAGGTGCTGGTGGGCTGCGGCTGGTGTGTTGACACGGTGACGATGGGCTGCTGGTGGGTTTGACAGCGTGACGGATGCTTTGGACCATCACGTCGCGTCTCAGACGTTTCAGGAATGGCTCGTGGTTGCTCGTGCTCGTGGTTGCTCGTGCTCGTGGTTGCTTGTGCCGTGGGTTGTGGCTCGTGGTTGTGCCGTGGTTGCTCGTGCTCGTGGTTGCTTGTGCTCGTGGTGCTCGTGCTCGTGGTTGCTTGTGCTCGTGGTTGCTCGTGCTCGGTGGTGCTCGTGCTTGCTCTGCTCGGGTTGCTCGTGCTCGTGGTTGCTCGTGCTCGTGGTTGCTCGTGCTCGTGGTTTGCTTGTGCTCGTGGTTGCTCGTGCTCGTGGTTGCTGTGCTCGTGGTTGCTCGTGCTCGTGGTTGCTCGTGCTCGTGGTTGCTTGTGCTCGTGGTTGCTCGTGTTGCTCTGTGGTTGCTCGTGCTCGTGGTTGCTCGGCTCGTGGTTGCTTGTGCTCGTGGTTGCGTGCTCGTGGTTGCTCGTGCTCGTGGTTGCTCGTGCTCGTGGTTGCTCGTGCTCGTGGTTGCTCGTGCTCGTGGTTGCTCGTGCTCGTGGTTGCTTGTGCTCGTGGTTGCTCGTGCTCGTGGTTGCTCGTGCTCGTGGTTGCTCGTGCTCGTGGTTGCTCGTGCTCGTGGTTGCTCGTGCTCGTGGTTGCTCGTGCTCGTGGTTGCTCGTGCTCGTGGTTGCTTGTGCTCGTGGTTGCTTGTGCTCGTGGTTGCTCGTGCTCGTGGTTGCTCGTGCTCGTGGTTGCTCGTGCTCGTGGTTGCTCGTGCTCGTGGTTGCTCGTGCTCGTGGTTGCTTGTGCTCGTGGTTGCTCGTGCTCGTGGTTGCTCGTGCTCGTGGTTGCTCGTGCTCGTGGTTGCTCGTGCTCGTGGTTGCTCGTGCTCGTGGTTGCTCGTGCTCGTGGTTGCTCGTGCTCGTGGTTGCTCGTGCTCGTGGTTGCTCGTGCTCGTGGTTGCTCGTGCTCGTGGTTGCTCGTGCTCGTGGTTGCTTGTGCTCGTGGTTGCTCGTGCTCGTGGTTGCTCGTGCTCGTGGTTGCTCGTGCTCGTGGTTGCTCGTGCTCGTGGTTGCTCGTGCTCGTGGTTGCTTGTGCTCGTGGTTGCTCGTGCTCGTGGTTGCTCGTGCTCGTGGTTGCTCGTGCTCGTGGTTGCTTGTGCTCGTGGTTGCTCGTGCTCGTGGTTGCTCGTGCTCGTGGTTGCTCGTGCTCGTGGTTGCTCGTGCTCGTGGTTGCTCGTGCTCGTGGTTGCTCGTGCTCGTGGTTGCTTGTGCTCGTGGTTGCTCGTGCTCGTGGTTGTCGTGCTCGTGGTTGCTGTGCTCGTGGTTGCTCGTGCTCGTGGTTGCTCGTGCTCGTGGTTGCTCGTGCTCGTGGTTGCTCGTGCTCGTGGTTGCTCGTGCTCGTGGTTGCTTGTGCTCGTGGTTGCTCGTGCTCGTGGTTGCTCGTGCTCGTGGTTGCTCGTGCTCGTGGTTGCTCGTGCTCGTGGTTGCTCGTGCTCGTGGTTGCTCGTGCTCGTGGTTGCTCGTGCTCGTGGTTGCTCGTGCTCGTGTGGTTGCTCGTGCTCGTGGTTGCTCGTGCTCGTGGTTGCTCGTGCTCGTGGTTGCTCGTGCTCGTGGTTGCTCGTGCTCGTTGCTCGTGCTCGTGGTTGCTCGTGCTCGTGGTTGCTCGTGCTCGTGGTTGCTCGTGCTCGTGGTTGCTCGTGCTCGTGGTTGCTCGTGCTCGTGGTTGCTCGTGCTCGTGGTTGCTCGTGCTCGTGGTTGCTCGTGCTCGTGGTTGCTCGTGCTCGTGGTTGCTCGTGCTCGTGGTTGCTCGTGCTCGTGGTTGCTCGTGCTCGTGGTTGCTCGTGCTCGTGGTTGCTCGTGCTCGTGGTTGCTCGTGCTCGTGGTTGCTCGTGCTCGTGGTTGCTCGTGCTCGTGGTTGCTCGTGCTCGTGGTTGCTCGTGCTCGTGGTTGCTCGTGCTCGTGGTTGCTCGTGCTTGGTTGCTCGTGCTCGTGGTTGCTCGTGCTCGTGGTTGCTCGTGCTCGTGGTTGCTCGTGCTCGTGGTTGCTCGTGCTCGTGGTTGCTCGTGCTCGTGGTTGCTCGTGCTCGTGGTTGCTCGTGCTCGTGGTTGCTCGTGCTCGTGGTTGCTCGTGCTCGTGGTTGCTCGTGCTCGTGGTTGCTCGTGCTCGTGGTTGCTCGTGCTCGTGGTTGCTCGTGCTCGTGGTTGCTCGTGCTCGTGGTTGCTCGTGCTCGTGGTTGCTCGTGCTCGTGGTTGCTCGTGCTCGTGGTTGCTCGTGCTCGTGGTTGCTCGTGCTCGTGGTTGCTCGTGCTCGTGGTTGCTCGTGCTCGTGGTTGCTCGTGCTCGTGGTTGCTCGTGCTCGTGGTTGCTCGTGCTCGTGGTTGCTCGTGCTCGTGGTTGCTCGTGCTCGTGGTTGCTCGTGCTCGTGGTTGCTCGTGCTCGTGGTTGCTCGTGCTCGTGGTTGCTCGTGCTCGTGGTTGCTCGTGCTCGTGGTTGCTCGTGCTCGTGGTTGCTCGTGCTCGTGGTTGCTCGTGCTCGTGGTTGCTCGTGCTCGTGGTTGCTCGTGCTCGTGGTTGCTCGTGCTCGTGGTTGCTCGTGCTCGTGGTTGCTCGTGCTCGTGGTTGCTCGTGCTCGTGGTTGCTCGTGCTCGTGGTTGCTCGTGCTCGTGGTTGCTCGTGCTCGTGGTTGCTCGTGCTCGTGGTTGCTCGTGCTCGTGGTTGCTCGTGCTCGTGGTTGCTCGTGCTCGTGGTTGCTTGTGCTCGTGGTTGCTCGTGCTCGTGGTTGCTCGTGCTCGTGGTTGCTCGTGCTCGTGGTTGCTCGTGCTCGTGGTTGCTCGTGCTCGTGGTTGCTCGTGCTCGTGGTTGCTCGTGCTCGTGGTTGCTTGTGCTCGTGGTTGCTCGTGCTCGTGGTTGCTCGTGCTCGTGGTTGCTCGTGCTCGTGGTTGCTCGTGCTCGTGGTTGCTCGTGCTCGTGGTTGCTCGTGCTCGTGGTTGCTGTGCTCGTGGTTGCTCGTGCTCGTGGTTGCTCGTGCTCGTGGTTGCTCGTGCTCGTGGTTGCTCGTGCTCGTGGTTGCTCGTGCTCGTGGTTGCTCGTGCTCGTGGTTGCTGTGCTCGTGGTTGCTTGTGCTCGTGGTTGCTCGTGCTCGTGGTTGCTCGTGCTCGTGGTTGCTCGTGCTCGTGGTTGCTCGTGCTCGTGGTTGCTCGTGCTCGTGGTTGCTTGTGCTCGTGGTTGCTCGTGCTCGTGGTTGCTCGTGCTCGTGGTTGCTCGTGCTCGTGGTTGCTCGTGCTCGTGGTTGCTCGTGCTCGTGGTTGCTCGTGCTCGTGGTTGCTCGTGCTCGTGGTTGCTCGTGCTCGTGGTTGCTCGTGCTCGTGGTTGCTCGTGCTCGTGGTTGCTCGTGCTCGTGGTTGCTCGTGCTCGGTTGCTTGTGCTCGTGGTTGCTCGTGCTCGTGGTTGCTCGTGCTCGTGGTTGCTCGTGCTCGTGGTTGCTCGTGCTCGTGGTTGCTCGTGCTCGTGGTTGCTGTGCTCGTGGTTGCTCGTGCTCGTGGTTGCTCGTGCTCGTGGTTGCTCGTGCTCGTGGTTGCTTGTGCTCGTGGTTGCTCGTGCTCGTGGTTGCTCGTGCTCGTGGTTGCTGTGCTCGTGGTTGCTCGTGCTCGTGGTTGCTCGTGCTCGTGGTTGCTCGTGCCGTGGTCCTGCTCGTGCTCGTGGTGGTTGCTCGTGCTCGTGGTTGCTCGTGTGCTCGTGGGTTGCTCGTGCTCGTGTTCTCGTGGTTTGCTCTGTTGCTCGTGGGTTGCTCGTGCTCGTGGTTGCTCGTGCTCGTGGTTGCTCGTGCTCGTGGTTGCTCGTGCTCGTGGTTGCTCGTGTCGTGGTTGCTCGTGCTCGTGGTTGCTCGTGCTCGTGGTTGCTCGTGCTCGTGGTGCTCGTGCTCGTGGTTGCTGTGCTCGTGGTTGCTCGTGCTCGTGGTTGCTCGTGCTCGTGGTTGCTGTGCTCGTGGTTGCTGTGCTCGTGGTTGCTCGTGCTCGTGGTTGCTTCGTGCTCGTGGTTGCTCGTGCTCGTGGTTGCTTCGTGCTCGTGGTTGCTCGTGCTCGTGGTTGCTCGTGCTCGTGGTTGCTCCTGCTTCGTGGTTGCTTGTGCTCGTGGGTTGCTGCTCGTTGCTCGTGGTTGCTCGTGCTCGTGGTTGCTCGTGCTCGTGGTTGCTCCGTGCTCGTGGTTGCTCGTGCTCGTGGTTGCTCGTGCTCGTGGTTGCTCGTGCTCGTGGTTGCTCGTGCTCGTGGTTTGCTCTGTGCTCGTGGTTGCTCGTGCTCGTGGTTGCTCGTGCTCTCGTGGTTGCTCGTGCTCGTGGTTGCTCGTGCTCGTGGTTGCTCGTGCTCGTGGTTGCTTGTGCTCGTGGTTGCTCGTGCTCGGTGGTTGCTCGTGCTCGTGGTTGCTCGTGCTCGTGGTTGCTTGTGCTCGTGGTTGCTCGTGCTCGTGGTTGCTCGTGCTCGTGGTTGCTTGTGCTCGTGGTTGCTTGTGCTCGTGGTTGCTCGTGCTCGTGGTTGCTCGTGCTCGTGGTTGCTCGTGCTCGTGGTGCTTGCTCGTGCTCGTCTGTGGTTGCTCGTGCTCGTGGTTGCTCGTGCTCGTGGTTGCTCGTGCTCGTGGTTGCTCGTGCTCGTGGTTGCTCGTGCTCGTGGTTGCTCGTGCTCGTGGTTGCTCGTGCTCGTGGTTGCTTGTGCTCGTGGTTGCTTGTGCTCGTGGTTGCTCGTGCTCGTGGTTGCTCGTGCTCGTGGTTGCTCGTGCTCGTGGTTGCTCGTGCTCGTGGTTGCTCGTGCTCGTTGTTGCTCGTGCTCGTGGTTGCTCGTGCTCGTGGTTGCTCGTGCTCGTGGTTGCTCGTGCTCGTGGTTGCTTCGTGGTTGCTCGTGCTCGTGGTTGCTCCGTGCTCGGTGGTTGCTCGTGCTCGTGGTTTGCTCGTGCTCGTGGTTGCTCGTGCTCGTGGTTGCTTGTGCTCGTGGTTGCTCGTGCTCGTGGTGCTCGTGCTCGTGGTTTGCTCGTGCTCGTGGTTGCTCGTGCTCGTGGTTGCTCGTGCTCGTGGTTGCTCGTGCTCGTGGTTGCTCGTGCTCGTGGTGCTCGTCTCGTGGTTGCTCGTGTCGTGGTTGTGTGCTCGTGGTTGCTCGTGGTGTGCTCCGTGGGTTGCTCGGGTGCTCGTGGTGGTTGCTCGTGCTCGGTGGTTGCTCGTGCTCGTGGTTGCTCGTGCTCGTGGTTGCTCGTGCTCGTGGTTGCTCGTGCTCGTGGTTGCTCGTGCTCGTGGTTGCTCGTGCTCGTGGTTGCTCGTGCTCGTGGTTGCTCGTGCTCGTGGTTGCTTCGTGCTCGTGGTTGCTCGTGCTCGTGGTTGCTCGTGCTCGTGGTTGCTTGTGCTCGTGGTTGCTCGTGCTCGTGGTTGCTCGTGCTCGTGGTTGCTGTGCTCGTGGTTGCTCGTGGCTCTGTGCGTTGCTCGTGCTCGTGGGCTTGCTTGTGCTCGTGGTTGCTTGTGCTCGTGGTTGCTTGTGCTCGTGGTTGCTCTGTGCTCGTGGTTGCTCGTGCTCGTGGTTGCTCGTGCTCGTGGTTGCTCGTGCTCGTGGTTGTGCTCGGTGCTCGTGGTTGCTTCGTGCTCGTGGTTGCTCGTGCTCGTGGTTGCTCGTGCTCGTGGTTGCTCGTGCTCGTGGTTGCTCGTGCTCGTGGTTGCTCGTGCTCGTGGTTGCTCGTGCTCGTGGTTGCTCGTGCTCGTGGTTGCTCGTGCTCGTGGTTGCTCGTGCTCGTGGGTTGCTCGTGCTCGTGGTTGCTCGTGCTCGTGGTGCGTGCTCGTGGTTGCTCGTGCTCGTGGTTGCTCGTGCTCGTGGTTGCTCGTGCTCGTGGTTGCTCGTGCTCGTGGTTTGCTCGTGCTCGTGGTTGCTCGTGCTCGTGGTTGCTCGTGCTCGTGGTTGCGTGCTCTGTTGCCTCCGTGGTTGCTCGTGCTCGTGGTTGCTCGTGCTCGTGGTTGCTCCGTGCTCGTGGTTGCTCGTGCTCGTGGTTGCTGTGCTGTGGTTGCTCGTGCTCGTGGTTGTCGTGCTCGGTGCTCGTGTCGTGGTTGCTTGTGCTCGTGGTTGCTTGTGCTCGTGGTTGCTCGTGCTCGTGGTGTTTGCTCGTGGTTGCTCGTGCTCGTGGTTGCTCGTGCTCGTGGCTGCTCGTGCTCGTGGTTGCTCGTGCTCGTGGTTGCTCGTGCTCGTGGTTGCTCGTGCTCGTGGTTGCTTGTGCTCGTGGTTGCTTGTGCTCGTGGTTGCTCGTGCTCGTGGTTGCTCGTGCTCGTGGTTGCTCGTGCTCGTGGTTGCTCTGCTCGTGGTTGCTCGTGCTCGTGGGTTGCTCGTGCTCGTGGTTGCTCGTGCTCGTGGTTGCTCGTGCTCGTGGTTGCTCGTGCTCGTGGTTGCTTGTGCTCGTGGTTGCTTGCTCGTGGTGCTCGGCTCGGGTTGCTCGTGCTCGTGGTTGCTCGTGCTCGTGGTTGCTCGTGCTCGTGGTTGCTCGTGCTCGTGGTTGCTCGTGGCTCGTGGTTGCCTCGTGCTCGTGGTTGCTCGTGCTCGTGTTGCTTGTGCTCGTGGTTGCTTGTGCTCGTGGTTGCTCGTGCTCGTGGTTGCTCGTGCTCGTGGTTGCTCGTGCTCGTGGTTGCTCGGTGCTCGTGGTTGCTCGTGCTCGTGGTTGCTCGTGCTCGTGGTTGCTCTGTGCTCGTGGTTGCTTGTGCTCGTGGTTGGCTCTGTGCTCGTGGTGTTGCTCGTGCTCGTGGTTGCTCGTGCTCGTGGTTGCTCGTGCTCGTGGTTGCTCGTGCTCGTGGTTTGCTCCGTGCTCGTGGTTGGCTCGTGCTCGTGGTTGCTCGTGCTCGTGGTTGCTCGTGCTCGTGGTTGCTCGTGGCTCGTGGTTGCTCGTGCTCGTGGTTGCTTGTGCTCGTGGTTGCTCGTGCTCGTGGGTTGCTCGTGCTCGTGGTTGCTCGTGCTCGTGGTTGCTCGTTGCTCGTGGGTTTGCTCGTGCTCGTGGTTGCTCGTGCTCGTGGTTGCTTGTGCTCGTGGTTGCTCGTGCTCGTGGTTGCTCGTGCTCGTGGTTGCTCGTGCTCGTGGTTGCTCGTGCTCGTGGTTGCTCGTGCTCGTGGTTGCTTGTGCTCGTGGTTGCTCGTGCTCGTGGTTGCTCGTGCTCGTGGTTGCTCGTGCTCGTGGTTGCTCGTGCTCGTGGTTGCTCGTGCTCGTGGTTGTGCTCGTGGTTGCTCGTGTGGTTGCTCGTGCTCGTGGTTGCTCTGTGTGCTCGTGGTTGCTCGGTGCTCGTGGTTGCTCGTGCTCGTGGTTGCTCGTGCTCGTGGTTGCTCGTGCTCGTGGTTGCTCGTGCTCGTGGTTGCTCGTGCTCGTGGTTGCTCGTGCTCGTGTTGCTCGTGCTCGTGGTTGCTCGTGCTCGTGGTTGCTTGTGCTCGTGGTTGCTCGTGCTCGTGGTTGCTCGTGCTCGTGGTTTGCTCGTGCTCCGTGGTTGCTCGTGCTCGTGGTTGCTCGTGCTCGTGGTTGCTCGTGCTCGTGGTTGCTCGTGCTCGTGGTTGCTCGTGCTCGTGGTTGCTCGTGCTCGTGGTTGCTTGTGCTCGTGGTTGCTTGTGCTCGTGGTTGCTCGTGCTCGTGGTTGCTCGTGCTCATGGTTGCTCGTGCTCGTGGTTGCTCGTGCTCGTGGTTGCTCGTGCTCGTGCTGCTGGCGGTGCTCGTGCTGGTGGTGCTGGTGGTGGTGCTGGTGGTGCTGCTGGCGGTGCTGGTGCTGCTGGTGCTGCTGGTGTTGCTAGTGGGTTGGTGCTGGTAATGGGTCAGGGAGTGGGGATGCTTGGCGGCATTAGTGTGACAGATGCGTTGGGCCGTCAAGGTAGGCCAGGGCTCATCGTGCTGGTGCTGCTGGTGATGGTATTGTGTCAAGTTGGTGGTCCTAAGTACTGCTGGGGGGCGGTTGGTAGGTACTGCTGGGGGGCGGTCAAGAAGTGACCCATGCATGCGATCATTTCTAGAACTGCCCTTCGCATTAGATATTAACTCAAAGTACACTGGGGGTACAGCAAACGGACCAACCTACTTCTTTCAGGGAGCCTGCGCTCCCTCAGGCCGCGGGTGGGGCACGGGTAAAAGGCCGCGGGGGGGCGTGGGGAAAAGCCCACGGGGGGGGGGCGCGGGGAAAGGCCGCGGGGGGGCGCGGGTAAAGGGCCGCGGGGGGTGCGGTGAATAGCCCACAGGGGGCCGCAGGGAAAAGCCCGCTGGGGGCCACGGGAAAAATCCCGCGGGGGGGCGCGGGGCGAAGCCCGCGGGGGGCGCAGGGAAAAGCCTGCGGTGGGGCGCGGGGAAATGGTGGTGCGCTCCCCTTCGGCGTTCGCCAGTGTTGGTTGCAAGTGCGCCACCACGTCACGTGCCCCCGTGAACTCTGCCGAGTGACCCTTCTTTTTGGCGCTTCAAAAATATATCCGCCCATGACCTGCGGCAGCCCCCTCATTCAAATATATCCGCCCATGACCTGCGGCAGCCCCCTCATTCAAATATATCCGCCCTTGACCTGCGGCAGCCCCCTCGTGTGCCACCCTCTCTCCTTTGCTCTATTGCAGCCTGCCAATTGCGTGTGGGCCGACCCAAAGCTATGGTTCATTGCCTGGCATCCTATATTGCACTCTTTGTTAACCGCATCGTCCCTCTGTGCCTTCGTCCGTTGTGCCTTACCCCCATTGTTCCTGACTCCCTCTGTGCCTGACTCCCTCTGTGCCTTACTCCCTCTGTGCCTTACTCCCTCTGTGCCTGACTCCCTCTGGGCCTTGACTGCCTGCCACCTCCTTTCTTTCTGTGCATCTTGGCTGGCAATCGCAAGAGCGCCAAGGCAGTGCACACGGACGGGGAGACTAGTTGGTTCTTTAGAACTGTCTAAAACCAACTCTAGCTGTGCATCCCGGCAATCGCAAGTGGGCCACGGCAGTGCATAAGGACTGGGAGATTCTCCTGTTGTAATCATCTCCCAATTTTACGGCGCCTAAAATATACACCCTGTGCATTTTTGAGGCGCCTCAAAAATAATCTCCCAATTTTACGGCGCCTAAAATATACACCCTGTGCATTTTTGAGGCGCCTCAAAAATAATCTCCCAATTTTACGGCGCCTAAAATATACACCCTGTGCATCCTGGCAGTTGCAAGTGGGCGAAGGCAGTGCGTGCACCAGTCGTGGTAGATTCTCCTGCGATGGTCGCCCATCCCCTCTCCTCCTGCCATGCTCTTGTTTTTGAGAATTCTCAGGGTCCTTTTTTAATCATATCCCTTAACTGCATCGTCCCTCACTGGCTTGGCTTGACTGCCTGTCACGTCTTTCCTTGCTCTCGTGCAGCCCGGCAATCGCAAGTGGGCCAAGGCAGTGCAGACGGACTGGGAGGTTACTCTTCCTTGTCTCTCATTCCGTCGTCTCCTGCCATCCTGTCTCCCTGAATAGCATCGTCCCTCCTCTCTTCTCCCTTTGCCCCTCGCAGCCCGGCAATCGCAAGTGGGCCAAGGCCGTGCACAAGGACTGGGAGATGCTCCAGACCAACCTGCCAGGTATGGAAGATGCTCCAGAGCAACCTGCTGGGTAAGGGAGTATCCAGCCCATTCTTTTTGTGCACTGATGGAGGATCGGACGAGCCCATTCACGCACCTCCTGTTTTCTTCCCTTGGCCTCTCACCAGACGATATTTCGTGAGGAGTCTATTTTTGAGGCGCCTCAAAAATAGACTCCCCCCACCAGACGCCATTTCTGTGCGGTGCAGGCGCACAAGGGCCGCATGGGCCTCTGTTGGGTGACGACCGCAAGAGAACCAGACACGGTAACCGTTACCCATTGTGTTACACCCGTCCATCCCCCCTCCAGACTCCATCTCTGTGCGGATTCACCCCTGTGGATTCCCCCTCTCTTGCACCCCGCGCCAGACTCTTGAGTCGACTCAAAAGTCACCTCTCTTGCACCCCACGCCAGTCTTCATCAGCGCGCTTGTACAAGGATCCGTGTGTAATGAGTCGATTTTTGAGTCGACTCAAAAATCGACTCATTACACACGCCAGACTTCATCAGTGCGTACGAGGATCCGTGTGTACGAGGATCGCACGGACCTATTGATGGCGGCGATCACGAGAGCACCAGGCACGGTAACCCTAAACCGCTGTGTTACTTCCCTCCTCCCCCTCACCAGAGTCCATCAGTGTGCGCGCCCGTGTACGAGGACCGCATGGACCTCATGTGTAGGAGGACCGCATCTGCGCGTGTAGGAGGACCGCATGTGCGCGTGTATGAGGACCGCATGTGCGCGTGTATGAGGACCGCATGTGCGCGTGTAGGAGGGCCGCATGTGCGCGTGTACGAGGACCGCATGTGCGCGTGTACGAGGACTGCATGTGCGCGTGTACGAGGACCGCATGTGCGCGTGCACGAGGACCGCATGTGCGCGTGTACGAGGACCGCATGTGCGCGTGTAGGAGGACCGCATGTGCGCGTGTACGAGGACCGCATGTGCGCGTGTATGAGGACCGCATGTGCGCGTGTACGAGGACCGCATGTGCGCGTGTACGAGGACCGCATGTGCGCGTGTACGAGGACCGCATGTGCGCGTGTACGAGGACCGCATGTGCGCATGTACGAGGACCGCATGTGCGCGTGTAGGAGGACCGCATTTGCGCGTGTAGGAGGACCGCATGTGCGCGTGTATGAGGACCGCATGTGCGCGTGTATGAGGACCGCATGTGCGCGTGTAGGAGGACCGCATGTGCGCGTGTACGAGGACCGCATGTGCGCGTGTTCGAGGACCGCATGTGTGCGTGTAGGAGGACCGCATGTGCGCGTGTACGAGGACCACATGTGCGCGTGTACGAGGACCGCATGTGCGCGTGTACGAGGACCGCATGTGCGCGTGTACGAGGACCGCATGTGCGCGTGTACGAGGACCGCATGTGCGCGTGTAGGAGGACCGCATTTGCGCGTGTAGGAGGACCGCATGTGCGCGTGTATGAGGACCGCATGTGTGCGTGTATGAGGACCGCATGTGCGCGTGTATGAGGACCGCATGTGCGCGTGTACGAGGACCGCATGTGCGCGTGTACGAGGACCGCATGTGCGCGTGTACGAGGACCGCATGTGCGCGTGTACGAGGACCGCATGTGCGCGTGTACGAGGAACGCATGTGCGCGTGTACGAGGACCGCATGTGCGCATGTAGGAGGACCGCATGGGCCTACTAGGGTGGCTGTTGTTGACCCATTCCCCCCGTCCTCTCCCACCCCACTCTCCCACCTCCCACCAGACTCCATCTCTGTGCGCGTGTATGAGGACCGCATGGACCTACTAAGGGTAGCGATCGCCGGACCGCCAGACACCCCCTACCACCTAGGTCTCTTCTTCTTCGACCTCTGGCTGCCGCCCGACTACCCTGCTGTGCCTCCTGTAAGCCACGCGCTAAAGTACCCTCGCCCACATCACATGCACCCCCCACCACCTCGGGCTCTTCTTCTTTGACCTCTGGCTGCCCCCGGACGACCCTGCTGTGCCTCCTGTAAGTGCCACACCCTATTGGCAAATGGATCGACACACCATACTCTGGCCGGACACCCCCTGCCACCTCGGGCTCTTCTTCTTCGACCTCTGGCTGCCCCCGGACTACCCTGCTGTGCCGCCAGTGAGCCTTGTGCTAAAGAGTTTTGGCATGCAGCCAGCCGCACATGGTTGCTGTGCCCCCAGTGAGTCATATGCCAGTCAACAGTTTTCAACTGCTCCATCCTGCCATCCTTTATTGGTTCTCCTCCCACCCCCCCCCCCTCCCCCCCCTTGTCAGTCTGTGCACTACCACTCAAGAGGTTTACGAGTGAATCCGAACCTCTGCGAGAGTGGCAAGTGTGCCTGTCGCTACCCAACACTTGCTCAATGCTGTCTCTAAACCCTCTCATCTCCTCTCATCTCCTCTCATCTCCTCTCATCTCCTCTCATCTCCTCTCATCTCCTCTCATCTCCTCTCATCTCTTCCCATCTCCTCCCGTCTCCTCTCGGCCCCCCCTCCCAGTCTGTGCACCAGCACTCAGCAGGCCTGAGGGTGAACCCTAATCGAAACACGTGCTGCTCAGCACGTGCTGTGAGCCGCTTCTTGACCCTCTCATCTCCTCCCGTCTCCTCTCGCCCCCCCGACCCAGTATGTGCACTACCATTCAGGAGGTTTGCGAGGGAACCCTAATCTATACGAGAACGGCAAGGTGTGCCTGTCGCTGCTGGGCACGTGCCCTGAGACTGGTCCCAACCCACCCTGCTCCCCCCTCCTCTCTCTTCCTCCTCTCTCTCCCTCCCCTCTCCCCAATTCTCCCCCCCTCTCTCCCACACCCAGTCTGTGCACTACCACTCGGGCGGTTTGCGAGTGAACCCTAATCTATACGACAACGGCAAGGTGTGCCTGTCGCTGCTGAACACGTGGGGAGGCAAGGGCACGGAGGTTTGGCACACAGGCTGCTCGATATTACAGGTATGGGTGATACTTGAGAGCTGGTGACAGTAATGAATCAGTGCTACTAATGAGTACACCGTGCTACAACGGCAAGGTGTGCCTGTCGCGTCTCAACACGTGGGGCGGCAAGGGCACGGAGGTCTGGCACACAGGCTCCTCGATACTACAGGTGTGTGTGTGTGACAGTAGCAAGGGGTGGTAATGCCGTGCTAAGTGTCTTGGTCATTCAAAGCGAAGGTGTGCGGTTCTGGTCAGCACATGGGGTGGCAAGGGCACGGAGGTCTGCCACATGGGATCCTCGATACTACAGGTATGTGATACTAACGAACTGGTAACAGTAGGGAGTATGTGGTAATAATGAGTGCATGCACGGTAATGTGTAAAGCAGGATGTATCTGGTGCTGCCCAATATGTGACATGATTGATGAGGCAGGGAATGAGAGGCAGAGGGGCATGGCAGAGGGGGGGGGCCAGAGGAGGGAGAGAACGGTGTTTGTTTTGCTCCATATCTCCCCTCGTTCCCTGCCCAAGTGTTTGTTTTGTTTTGGTATCCATTCAGGGGCTGGTGCACGTGCTGCGGTGGTATTTGAAGGAGGCGAGGTTTGAGAGGCAGAGGACACAGCGGAGGGGGAGAGGAACGCTGATCCCTCGTTGTGTTCGGTATTCCCTTGTCCTCCTGCACCCCCTCTCAGGTGCTCGTCTCCATCCAGGGCTTAGTGCTCGTGCCGCGCCCTTACTTCAACGAGGCGGGGTACGAGAGGCAGAGGGGAACAGCAGAGGGGGAGAGGAACGCTGACCTCTACAACGAGAGTGCTTTCCTGCTGTCGTGTAAAACCATGATCTACGGCATTCGCAACCCCCCCAAGGTACAGTTCATAATGCTTGCATGGGTTTGAAGCAGAGGGGAAGGACAGAGGGGGAGAGGAACGCTGACCTCTACAACAAGAGCGCTTCCTTGCTGTCGTGCAAAAGCATGATCTACGGCATTCGCTACCCCCCTAAGGTACGATCTTAAGTGAATTCATTAGCTAAGAGGCTATGCTTAGTGGCACTTTTGCTGCAATCCCTCCCTACATGTGCAACAAGCGTGGCTTGCATTAGCTTGGAGCCAGTTAATGATGCTTTCATTTCAGTGCATTTCAGTGCATTTGGTTTCATTTCAGTGCATTTGGTTTCATTTCAGTGCATTTGGTTTCATTTCAATGCATTTCAGTGCATTTGGTTTCATTTCAATGCATTTCAGTGCATTTGGTTTCATTTCAATGCATTTCAGTGCATTTGGTTTCATTTCAATGCATTTCAGTGCATTTGGTTTCATTTCAATGCATTTCAGTGCATTTGGTTTCATTTCAATGCATTTCAGTGCATTCGGTTTCATTTCAATGCATTTCAGTGCATTCGGTTTCATTTCAATGCATTTCAGTGCATTTTAGTGCATTTCAGTGCATTTGTTTCATTTCAATGCATTTGAGCATTTGGTTTCATTTCAGTGCATTTCAGTGCATTTGGTTTCATTTCAATGCATTTCAGTGCATTTGGTTTCATTTCAATGCATTTCAGTGCATTTGGTTTCATTTCAATGCATTTCAGTGCATTTGGTTTCATTTCAATGCATTTCAGTGCATTTGGTTTCATTTCAATGCATTGCGTTGCATTTCGATGAGCAAACCCAGGTAAGCTGCTTACGTTGCTTGTATCACCATCTCGCCTCTACAACATCATACACACATAAATGGTAGTTTCAATGCATTTCGAGGGGCAAACCCTCCCTCCTGTTCCGTTTGCCACTCCTCCCTCTCCTGACTAGCGTTTCTCTTCACTTCTGTAATTTCTTCCCCTCATTCCTCCCCATTCACCACTCCTCCCATTCCTCCCCACTCTCCCCTCTCCTCGCCTCTCCAGCCGTTAGTGGTCCATCATTTCACGCAGCAGCATCGATGTTGATGCTTACTCTCACTTCTTCTCCCTGCTGCTCCGCTCCCCTCACACCGGGGCTTTGAGCCTCTGGTTGCCTTTCATTCCCTACGTCTGTGCAACACGGATTCCAATGGAGCCAGGGTGGTGTGCCCGATCAATCTCGGTACTTTTTCCCCCCACTTCCCCCCACTCCCCTCTCCTCACACAAGCACTTCGAGCCCCTAGTGGCCCTACATTTCAAGCTGCATGCAGCAGTCATTGTGGCTCTGTGTGACACTTACTCCAAGGGAGCCATGGTGCGCCCGATCAATCTCAGTCCCTCCAACTTCTCCCCTCTCCCCACGCCTCACTCCCCACTCCCCACTGCCCACACCCCGCACACAGCATTTCGAGCCTCTAGTGGCCCTTCATTTCAAGCAGCATGCAGCAGCCATCATTGCCCTGTGCGACACGTACTCCAAGGGAGCCAGGGTGTGCCCGATCAAGAGCGCAAGCAAGGCGTGCACAGCCAAGGGTACGGATGCAGCAGCTAAGGGAACCACTACGAATGTTTCAGAAAGCACGGGCAATCCTGAAGGGAGTCAGCAGCAGGGGGAGGATTCGCTGGGGCAGCAGGGAGCCAGGGCAGCTGATGTGGTGCAAAGCGGTGGTGGTGAAGAGGAGTGTTCTGCGGGGTTCAAGATGATGCTGGAAAAGCTGAGGCCCCAGTTAGAACTGGCCTTGGCACGCATCTTGAGCTGAGGGCGTGAGGCCTCACTTTTTCCTAGAATTTTGAGCCACTTACAGAATAAGACTACGTGCAGGTACACCTGTGCTATGATGATATACTCTAGTCCAGCATGTTGTCATTTTTTTGCCCTCCGCGTCGAGATCAGGACGTGATTCATATGGTACGTTCTAAGAGCTCCTGTAAGGTTTAGTGCGGTACAGCTGGTATTGCAGTGTTTAAAAGTAGAGCATAGCTGCTCGAAACGAGATGTAGCAGTTGCACTCCATTAGTGTGAGTGAGGCGAGGAGTTCAGTGTATATTGTGAGGTTCACAAATCGCATCACTAATGTATTGCTCCTCATAAGATACTTGAGCATGACACATGAACCAGAACAAGCGGCACTGCTTTTCACAAAGCGCAATATTTAGTTTTTTTGGGAACTTGTGTACATGGACAAAAAAAGGGCAAGGGAGGAGTCTGATAGAACCCCACCTTTGGACAAAGCAGCTACGGTACTAGAGAGAGCTGTGGAGCATAGGACAACCAGGAAACGAGTGAGCAGAAGAGGGAGAAAGAAACCGGGCAAGAGAGATGGATGCCACAACAGAGGGAACCGACCACCAGCAGCAGCAGCAGCCTCGTCTCATGATCGTACTACAAGCCTGCTTCAGGCCGTCAGTACATGCCCTGCTCCAAAGTCGCCTAACTCCATGGCCCGCGCTCCCTGTTCACCACCTCCCCTGCAAAAAGGTGACCCTGCTGGAATCCTCCTCCCCAGCAGGCCTTGCCCCCTGCTGGTGAAGTGAGGTGTCAGTTGCACACTGTCAGTTGTACTCCTAGCACGCACATTTACCCTACCACCGCAAGGAGCTTTGACAAGCAAGCCAAGAAAAGAACCCTGATAAGCGAGATTGGCTATTTATTAGAGAGATTTGTTTGCAGGGCTCAGCCACAGCTGCGACTGCTGCTACAACTGAACCCACTGCTGCTACAACTGACCCCAGCTGCAGCTACTACTGACCCCAGCTGCAGCTACAAGTGACCCCAGCTGCAGCTACAACTGACCCCAGCTGCAGCTACTACTGACCCCAGCTGCTGCTACAACTGACCCCAGCTGCTGCTACAACTGACCCCAGCTGTTGCTACAACTGACCCCAGCTGCTCCAGCTGCAGCTACAACTGACCCCAGCTGGAGCTACAACTGACCCCAGCTGCTGCTGCAACAGACCCCAGCTGCTGCTGCAACAGACCCCAGCTGCTGCTACAACAGACCCCAGCTGCAGCTATGACAGACCCCAGCTGCTGCTGCTACCAACTCCAGCAGGCTCACAACCCACCTCAGCTGCTGTCTTCAGGTGCTGCCACTCATAGCCACAGCGTCAGGCGAGAGGATTGATACGAAGTCGAGTCGATCATCCGCATGGCTCGAAACTGCTCTGCTCGTCGTTTCAACCCTCTGACCGCTGCTTGCTATGGATTCGAACCCGCCAAGGTCAACCTTTGACCCGGCCACACGGAATCTGCCTGCGACTAGCACACACTCCAAACGCTGCGTCGCTGCTATTGCGGTGACTCCGAATACCTACCAGCACCTACCAGCCGCGCTCCCCTGAATACGCATTTTCCTGGCGCTACGCTCGCTAAACAGCTTCCTCCTTGAGAAACGAGGCAGCCGCGGCCATGGCTTCAGGGGTGCAGAAGAGCGCGGCAGGATAGTCCGCCAGCGAAAGCACACCCTCGCCATCGTCAGCCACATCACCATCGCCATCGTCACCAGCGGCAGCAGCAAGGATGTCAGCCTCAGATAGCATCGCGAAATCAGTTGCAGTGCCGTCCGCGTCACCAGTGCCGGCAGCAGCAGCGGCATCAGCACACGCATCAGCAGCAGCATCAGCAGCAGCATCAGCAGCAGCGGGAGATGCATTGGAGGCGGGCATTCTGATGCCTTGGCGGTTGAGCTCGTCCAGAACGCCGTCCAGCGATGGGGGCTTGAGGCCCAGAGGCAGGGGAGTGGCGGGGTTGGTGAGCGCCTCACTGATGGCCGCATCGAGAATGTCGTTGGCCTGAGGGGAGAGGGGGGAGGGGAGAGCGCAGGGAGTGGGGGAGAGGGTGTATGAGTCGACTGACAACAACCACCAGCGATGGGGGCTTCAGGCCCAGAGGCAGGGGCGTAGCGGGGTTGGTGAGGGCCTCACTGATGGCCGCATCGAGAATGTCGTTGGCCTGAGGGGTGAGCGGGGAGGGGAGAGCGCAGGGATTGGGGGAGAGGGTGTATGAGTCGACTGACAACACCCACCAGCGATGGGGGCTTGAGGCCCAGAGGCGGCGGCGTAGCGGGGTTGGTGAGGGCCTCACTGATGGCCGCGTCAAGGATGTCTTTGGCCTGAGGAGAGGAGAGGCGGGGAGCGGAGAGGAGGGCGGGGAGAGGTTAAAAGTGGACTGACAACAAGACCTCATAAAATCAGTAGCCTAATTTACGCAAATTGTCACCAACGTCAACGCAGGTCGAGGACCAGGTTTCGCGAACTCGATTTGGCATTAACAACAAGGCACTGAACACGTGCACAAGCACGCAGCACGATTTTTTAGGCGTCTTAGAAAAAAAGAAAGTAAAACAAAACCCCGGAACGCGCACTTGTTTTAGCTTTAGCAACACGGCACTGAACACATGCACACGCAGCACTTGACATTGCGTTGTGAGCTACACCATTCAGCACATGCACTCGAACACGCAACCCCAGCTGCTCACCTCGTGCAGGTCGTCGCCAATGCTAGCCGAAATCGCCGCAAGGTCCACCGAGAGGTCATCCGAGAGCGGGAACATGGGGTTCGGCATCGCCTCATCCGCCACATGCCCCGCACCACCCTCACCAGCCCCCCCGCCGCCGCTCCCCGCTCCCGCACCGTCCGCTGCTCCCGGAAGCTTACCCCCCATGCCCCAACCGAGCGGGAGGGAAGGCCCGAATCCGGGGGCGTGCGGAAGGCCGGGCATCATGGGCATGCCGTGGAAGGGGGACGGCATGGCAGCGGCCCCGTTCGGATGGTTTCCGGACGCAGGAGTGCCGTTGTGCTGTATGCTGCTAGGCGGACAGACAGGCGCCCCGCAGACCATGCCGTTGGGCGCGCTGTTGGGCGGCATGGGGAAGCTGAGCGGATGCTGGTGCTGGCGAGGGGGAAAGCAGGGCATGCCGCGCGCTGGCATGCCGGGATGGGGCCACGCGTCCATCGGAGGAGGGCCGGCCGAGAACTGCAGGGGAGGGGGGGAAGGGGATGGGGGTGGGAGTGGGGGGGGGGGGTGGGGGTGGGAGTTGGGGGGGGGGGGGAGGAGACGGGGAAGAAACGGAGGAGGGTCAAGAGAGGAATCAACATCAGGTAAGTTGACGAAGTTATTAAGAGGAACGAGAGACGGTAGGAGTGAATAGCCGACAAGAAAAGAACAAGATGGGAATGAGGGAGAAGAAGTGGGTTGTGTGTGTGGGGTGGGGGGGAAGGGGGGATCGGGAGGTGCGGATACAACGACGCAGAAAACGTGCGAATTAGATGACGAGCTTGAAGTGTTTATCTTACCGCGGGATAGTGGTGCCAGGGAGAGGCACCGTCAACGGCAAGCCACGAGGGAGGGGGGTATGCCGCCACCCGCGGCTGCATCTGCTGCTGTTGCGGCTGTTGCGGTTGACACTGCTGCTGCTGCTGCGGATGTCCCCACATGTGCGGCCGCGCATACCCCCCCGACGACGCTCCCCCTGACGTAGGATGGCCCCACACCGGCATGCCCATAGCCGGCGGCGGGTGGGGAGGCATCATCGGGCTCATCCCAGGGGACGCTTGATGCGGATGCATCATCGGCATGTTGCCATATGGCTGATGATGGAACGGCATAGGCGGGCATGGCATCATGCCGGCCATTTGCCGAGGCGGCATCATGTGGGGAGGATGACCCGTCGGAACACCTTGCGAAACGCCACCCGGAAGCCCATTGGGAACTCCAGCCGCTGGACTACCGCCAGTTGAAGCAGCCGCACCTGCAGGGGGAACTCCGGAACCCCACATAGGCCCCGGCTTCCCCCCAGGCGTCCCCGCAGGAGCAGCAGCAGCAGCAGCAGCGGTGGGCCAGGCGCCGCCAGAAGCGGCGGAGTCGGCGGGTGCGCGGGTGGTGTGCCAGTTGGCGGCTTCCGCGTCCCGCGCGGCGAGGTGGCGGCGGTGCGAGCGGTACTTCTGGAGATGGCTGGCGATGTTGTGGCGCGTGAGGGACTTGACGCCCATGAGCTCGAGAATGCGCGACGGGATCGCCTTGTCCACGCCTAGCTGCTCCACCGCTTGGACGAATCTTCTGTGAAGCTCTGGCGTCCAGTCCACCTGAAAGGGGAACAGTCAGTGGCGCAAGGGAAATGCGGGGATACGGAGTAACGACTGAAATCGACAGACGATGCGAGCGAGAATGACGACGGAATGCCGCAACCAGTGGCTGTAGGTCCACGGCTAGAGGAGAAGCGACGACAAGCCACCGGAAAACAATTAGCCGACAAGCCAATCAGTAGTTGATCGATCAATGTCGAGACGGAAAGTTCATCCGACGCATGACGCTCACCACGCTTCACATCGAAAAAACGGGTTTTAAACTAACCTTGGGCTTTTTCTTCTGAGCCTGATTCTTGCTGGTGTCCTTTGAAGTCATGTCGCTTTGATCGTTCAGGTGCGATTCTGAATGAAACGTCTCCGACGGTCGAGTATCCTCGGTAGCATCAGGTTCACGTTTCACTCCAGTAGCTTCGCCAGACGGCTTGTCCAGAAGCGTATCCTCCGGATCGGGTAACATCAGGTTACCCAGGTTACCAGGACCATCGAGATCGTCGATTTCGCCAGCTCCTAGCGGATCGACGGTGAAATCAGGCCACGTGGAGATATCGCATCCGTCCAACATTTCTGGGCTGACTTCACACGCATTTCCGATTCCAGCCGTCCTGTCTTGAAACGAGTGATCAACTGCGATGTCCCTCGCGGAAGCTTCGTTTGTTTCAGCGGCTCCCTCCGGGCGATCGTCAACCAAGCAAGAGCTCATCGATCCGCCTCCGGTACCCTTGCTGCCGTCCTCTTGAGAGGCCGTATCCGCTTCGGTTGCCAGCGTTGCTTCGGCGACGCTCGACGATCGTCGAGCTTTCGCCTTTAGGTCAACCTTACTCGCACCCTTTTTCGTCAACGCGGGATGTTTCTTCGCGATCGGCGTTTCGCGAACACCCAGGTAAGCACCATAATCGGCGCTGGTCCTCTCCCTGAAAGCGTTGCTGGAACCTGTCTGGACTAC